AGAATTATGCTTTATTTTGCTGGATGTAGAAAAGGCATTGTGAATATGTAAGAAAGTGCCCTTATTTCTTTCAGAGATGCGTATTGAAGGATTTGGGGCATTACGGCCTAGTAGCTGAGATTTGCTGTAAAATGCTTTCATAAAAAATTAAAGTGAGAGAGATTATCTTGAGGAGAGCTCAGTAAGACAAATATGGGAAAGTATTGATGCTTGTTGAAGTTGATGATGGGATTCCTTGTACTCTCCTCTCTGTGTATGTTTGGGAGTTTTCATAATAAACAGTTAAAAGTGAAAGAGGTGACGAGTGTGAGAGAGAGAACTTCCAGACCACAATGTTTCCAGAAGAGTAGAAGCAGATGTTAAGGCTCTGGGCTGTTTTGCTCAAATTTGCAATCTCCTCTACGTGGAATCTTCTTAGCTGTTTCGGGGATGGTAGGAGTGGTTTCACCAAATCATCTCCACGAGCTCTCCGGCTCGTTGTCTCTTGGGATCAAGAGCTTATGGGGACATGAATATGACAAAGGTACCCAAGGTCAAGACCATGACTTTGACCTATTAGTCTCCTTCCCCAATTCCATGGCATCCAAATCCTGTTCCTCCTCTGGACCTATCTCAAGTGCTGATCCCGTGTGTGGCGAACCCCGGTCCTTCTCCGGCATTTATGGTTTAGCATCTGGCATTGCATTCCATTTGGCCCAGGGCTATTCTCAAGTCATCTTTTGCCACCTAATCTCCACACCCCCACAAGGTGAGTTTCCCATGCCTTCTGCTCAGGCAGGCCTGCTCTGTGCTAAACACATGGAGGCCGTGCATTCCTACAGTCACTAGTTTTTTTCTCCATAACTGAGCACCTGCTGTATGCTGAGCACTGTGCCAGTCGCTGGGATCTCAGTAGAGAACAACATAGACTCAGACGGTACCCTGGAGCTCTTTCAGTGAGAAGGAGAGACGCTCTTAAACAAACAATTGCACAACAAAGTAGTTCTGGACAGCAGCAGGGAGCGCTGAGTATAGCCCCCGTGCAGATGCAGTGTGTGGCCCAGGAGACCTGGCCTGGTCTGGAGAGTCAGAAAAGCTCCCTGAAAGAAGTGACTTTAGGAAGGGGCTTAAAGGAAATGAGACAATTAGCCAGGTGAGGAGGTGGGAGGAGCATTCCAGGCAGAGCAAACTGCACGGGAAAGGTCTCTGGGGGAAGGACTCTGGTGCCCTAATAGGAGTCTACTCTTATTGGCATGTGAAGATCACAGTTGAAAATAAGTATGTTGTTCTTGAATGAAGATGAGTTTTCCAGTGCCTTAGCCCACTGGCAGCTGGAGTCTCATCACTGTTAGACTGTTAGAACAGCCTCCAATCTGTTCTGGTCTCCCTGCATCCGTGCTCCTTTACAATGTGATTTTGTCCCTCTTCCTGA